TACTATATATAATTATTATATATATATATATATATATATATATATACTATAAATTTATATATGTTTGCAATTTATTACTGATTTGGTGAATGAAATAATTAAAAAGAAGAAAAGAATGAGAGAATAATATTTAAAAACTTTTCTTTTTCGAAATATTTTCGAAATATAAAAATTTCTCTCAAAAATTAACTTTATGCACGATTATTATTTGATAATGTGTAATTACGTGTAATTCTTATTTACTTCTTATTAAGTCACATTAATTCTTATTAATTCAGGGATCGAAATTCGATTTCGAAAAAAGTCAACAAATCAAATTTTGTAAAAAAAAAAGAAAGAGAGAGATTGTGAAATTGAATGTTAATCGTCGAGATTGAAATAATACGCATTTGAAGCATAGTTATCCAACATTAATGTTGAAAAACTAATTTCGTGATCTCTATTGTGATGTTTCTGTGCAGAGGACGTATAGTCTGAGGTGACAACATATCGGCATAATGAGAGCCAACGTGATAACAACTCTAACCAAGAAGACTGCATCGCGGTTGGATTATTTATGTCGTCACCAATCTACCACGAGGTATCGATCTTTCTGCAGGATCTGCATGCGTCAAGTACTAGAATAACACACTGCCATCCCCTAAAGTCCCGTTGAATGACAGCGTTTAATAATAAGCGCCGTTTAATCCAGCACGGAACTGCTAAGTTCTTATCCAAACTTCTGGCGAACCTTTGATAATAAGCTTTAGTCCTGGATTAATAAACATCTCACGTACTTCACGAAGCTACAAAGTTTGTTACTCAATGCAGAGAACATTGATGCGTATTACATAGATACTAGATTATACCTTCGTTGTGTGCAGATTTACTCGTAAAAATTTTTACTCTGTCCATTGAAAACATTTTCTGTTAAATTACTGATGTTTTTTCATAATCTTTCATTTCCATGTATTTCTACCATAATCTGCGAACTATTATTTATACTATTATTTGAGCAAATTATAAGTCTTTGAAAATATATCAAAAAATACTCAGCGCTGAAGCGAATTGCCTGATATTCTATGTCGCCTAAAAGTATACGAGATTTCGTTATTTTCCTCAAAATGAAGAAGAGTCAGATTCAGATGAACGGAATTTTTAGCACATGCACATGCACCGCGTACGACCTGGTGATCGTGGGCGGTGGTATCGTCGGTTGCGCGACCGCCCGCGAGATGATTATGAGACATCCGAATATGAAAATAGCCATCGTGGAAAAGGAAAACGCACTGGCCATGCATCAAACGGGGCACAACAGCGGCGTGGTGCACTCCGGCATTTATTACACCCCTGAAAGCATGAAGGTAAACTCTGAAATAAATATGTAATTTCTTGCAGCTCGGACCTTATCACCGGACTTGCGATAAGATAAACAGGATGCTATAAGCAATAAATGTGATAATGGCACAAACTGTTATCATTCTTTTATATTAATACATAACGCAAAAATATGTCACATAGGCTTTGAAGACAAAAATTAAAATTTACAAAATATAGAAAATTAATCAGAAATTGATTATCCTCACAATATTGCTAAAAACAATTTTTATTTACACATCAGAATGCTCGTGATTTGACAGTGACTGCTTGCAGGCGAAACTTTGTGTGGAAGGTCTGAAACTGTCGTACGAGTACTTTTGCAAGAATAACATACCTCACAAGAAAATCGGCAAGTTGATTGTCGCTCAAAACCCAACACAAGTTAAGAGGATAGATGATCTCTTCGAACGAGGAATGAAAAATAATGTGCCTGATCTACAAGTCATTGAGAAAGACTGCATTTCAAAATACGAACCCAAGTGCAAGGTACAACGATAAAAAAGAATGGTCATATTTAAATGTAGAAATTGCATAAAAAATTTGCGGTGTTAATGTCTCAAAGATTTATTTCCAGGTTTTAATCAGGCTATTTTTTTCCCGCCAGATAAATCTGTCGAAATAAATCTTTTTTTAATAAAAAATTAATTTCTGTTACGCCATTGTACTTTATATCTTAATATGACACATAAAAATTTTATAGCCGTACATAAAAGGTGCAATGGTTTTAGGGCATCGTAAATAATGTATGAGAAGCGAAAAGTCAAATTATACCGTTTCTAGGGAGAAAAAGCTTTATGGTCACCGTGGACTGGTATAGTGGATTGGACGGTCGTGTGTAAATCCTTTGCCGAACAATTTCAAAAAATGAAGGGCGACATTTTTCTCAATTTCGAAGTAATCGGATTCGCGGAGATGACGGAATCAAAACCGAAAAGTCAACTAGTCCCCATAGCCGTCCAATCGAAAAACCAAGTAAGATTTTCTTCATTAAGTCACATCTTATTGCGTATTGTTAATTATTTAACGTAATTTCTATTTTGAAGTGCATACCTACAAAATATGTGCTGACGTGCGCTGGTTTGCATTCGGATCGTTTGGCGGTGATGACGGGTTGCGATTTAAGTCCGCGAATAGTACCGTTTCGCGGCGAATATCTTCTACTAAACGAAAACAAACGACATCTCTGCACGACCAATGTGTACCCGGTGCCCGACCCCAGATTCCCATTCCTCGGTGTGCATTTTACACCCAGAATGAACAGCGATATATGGTTGGGTCCTAATGCTGTTCTCGCATTAGCTAGAGAAGGCTACAGGTATCAATCATTACAAAAAAATATTACTTAAATCTATACAAAATTGAATAACACTTGCAAGTACACAGAAGAGAGGAAATTTTTAAATTGTTATTTTTTTCAGTTGGTTTGACATAAACATAAGAGACTGCATAGAGATGGCAAAATTTCCTGGTTTATACAAATTCTGCTTCCGATATTTCCTACCAGGTTGCATGGAGATGATAAAATCAATTTTCTACCCATTGGCTGTGAAAGATCTTCAGAAGTTTATTCCCGAAATTACGTACAAAGACGTAAAAAGGTTGGTATTTTATGCGCAGTATATATAATCTTCGTGTGACTCTCTCCTGTAATCATCAACAGAGGACCATCAGGAGTAAGAGCACAGGCACTGGATAAAGATGGCAAACTAATCGACGACTTCGTTTTCGATGGAGGTACCGGTAAAATTGGAAGTAGAGTATTGCATTGTCGAAACGCGCCATCACCGGCTGCAACCAGTTCTATGGCGATAGCGAAATTTATTGCCGATAAACTTGATCGTGACTTCAAATTTTAATATAGGTAATTGACATACATAATTATCTAATCACTCAGATAAAGTGCAAAGTGCAAGTAGAAGAAGCGTTTAAAAACAAAGATTCCCAAAGAAGTTATACATACAAAGTTATAAGATTTTTTCTATATGTCACATAATTTTTGTATTAAGCAATTTATTATCTCCAAAAATATATATATATATATATATCTGTATATCTATTTTATGTACATTAATATTTTAGTTATTATAATCATAAATATTTAAGAAATAACTCATGATAAGATAATAGCAAAAGAATTACATACAAAATTTTTATGCTCTTAAGCATTAAAGTGTCTTATGAAATGTATCTCTTTAGATATTAATAAATATATTGATAAATATATCTGGCATTAAAAGCTACTATGCACTCTTGAATTCTAAAAGTACAATTTGTCTCTGTGTAAATTAATTAATAAATAATTTTCTACACTGGAACATCGAATTATAAGACCTAAAGATTTCAAATATATGTACAAATACAATAAAATTGAAATATATGAAATAATTATCACATATATATACATACACATGCATAAAATTGTATGAGATTTAAAAGATTTTATATAATTCTAAATCTATTTCCTGATATTATAAGACGCGTGGTGGCAAAATCCAACGCAGCAGTTAAATGGTATCCCATGTTTGAAAGTACAACTCCATATTCGCTTAAAGCGAACATTGAATATACTGAAATTACATGGCGGTTTTCTGAGATAATAAGAAGCATAGTTGCTGCTATGAAAATAAGAATGCTGATTAATTCCTTACCTAAAGGCTCGCAATATTTATTATGCCTATAAAAGAAGTAACATGCTACTAGTATAGATAATACATTCAACATCATTGATCTCCATTTCCACTTCAAAGAAGCATCCTTAAAATCTTTTGCAACAGTCAGGCAACTTCTCATAATATAATACGCTAAGAACATATGTATAAATGATGTTATCAAAAAAGTTATGAAGGACATCTTGTGGAATGCTGTAAAAAAACATGACATATTAATTAATATTATCATGCATCACATGTAATATTCATAGGCAATTTGTTCATGCAAATTTTCAAATGCAAGTATTTGCATACCATAATTCTCATTGGAAGTCCAAAAGCTCAGTGTCACCAAAGATATATTTTCAATAGCGTACATAACAAGTGCGATATTACTTAAATACTGCGCCCATTTGTAAACATGTTCCTTGTAATAACGATAATATAGCATAAATACTAAAGTCCTCACTATCGCTTGCAATGCTATAGCAATCTTCCAGACATCCCTCTGGGGTCTGTAATGGCCGATCGCCGCCGAGATGGATGGTAAAAAGTTGTACACCTAAAAAAATAAAGAAATCGTAAAAATAAAAAGAAAAGAAGATTGTCACTTTAAAAAATACGATGAATCAACGCTGTAATTGAATAATCGTAATCTCTTTACGAAGCATTCCTCCGCAAATCGCGCGAGAAACTCATCATATAAAATACAGTAATTCGGAGTTATGTAAGATTTTTCGATTTTGCCAAGAGAAATCATCATAATTATCTCACGCGACTGACTGACTTTAATTATACCTGACAATGCGTGGAAGTGGAGTGCTCGAAGTTGAAGAAGACCGACCAGGCGACACAAAAGAGGAAGGCCAGAAACGGCAAGAGCACAGTGAACCATGCCACTTTGGAGAACGGCACGATTACGCGGGCCTTCATATCGTCCTCCGTTAACGGAATATACTCTGACCCTAATCTAAGCTTGCTCATGATATTTAATTCTTCGGCTGCAATATATATCTCTCTCTCTTTTTGTCTACGTCATAACATGCATGACACCGCGATAAGGTTAACAAGCTGATTCGGCATCTCGATTAGCGGATAACGACGGGATCCTCTCAGTGTTTTCTTCGGATCTTCCTAAACGCGACCATGATGCGATCACATGATTCGCATCTCGTCCCCAGGGAACGATCGACGATCGACACAAATACGCGAGACCGGCCCGCCAACGAGCGAACCAACATCGTAACAGGTTAAGTCCATTGGACCACCGATCGATCGGACTGTCTTCATCACTCTTGTGGGATAATTTATAACCGCGTTACCAATGCCATCTGAAAGCATTTGAAAATTTGTTGTGTCGTCCGTTTGTAATGTCTAGTGCCGTAGAAAATGCAATAACTTAAACGAACTTAATCGATTTGCCACATGTATGTATTTGTCAAACATTTCGATCTTCTTGATACGATTTTCGATTGCTTCTTATTGAACTTTGAACCTGCAGTCGATAGGAGATTAGAAATTGATAACTACGATCGCATGGCACAGCGTTGAGGTTATAATCGACGATTCGAGACAGTCAGGAAACTGTGTGTGTTTTTAAAGACTTGTGCGATTGATAAATATCTATATTTTGACATTTCACATCTTACTACTAGATTTCTGATACACATCACCAAATATGACTTCGTTCGTAGCGGATGTACTGGCTACGGCAGGTAATGTTTACAAATTGCGTTTGAATAATTATGATTGATTATCAAATTCTAGTTTTCCTCTGACAAAACTAATTTTTCTATGCAGACAAATTATAACTTTGTAGATATAATTGAATTGAATACATTTTTACAAGAGATATCGTAATTGTGAGTAATATTTCTTACTATACAGGTAAACTTGAGAAGGTAAATCTTCATAAAAATATTGCTGAAGTACAAAAAGAAATAACGAAATTAGAATATGAAGTTAAGGATTTTATGGATGACAATTATGTTGAATTCAATGCAAAGTTATCAAGAGATGTACATTTAGTTAAAAAAACAGAACAATTGTTGGAGGAGATCAGTATTTTACAGAAGAGAATAAATGATCAAGTATGTTATATCAACATTTATCTCGTTAAATGCATGATACACACACACACACACACACATACACACATATAATATTTATATTTTATTATAGATTAAAATAGAACTATCTGGTTCGATGAAGGAACTGAAAACACTCTCACAAGCATTAAAGGAATCCAATATTAGTATGCAGCTTTCTCATCAATTGATAAGTTTACACAAGTGCATAGTATCTGTAAGAAAGACAAAAGAGGATAAGCAATATGTCGATACTGCTAAGACTCTACAGCAGATGCAATCTTTACTTGATAATCCTCACAGCCTCTTGCATGATCTCGAAATATATACAGCAATTAAGGATGAATATTGTAATCTCTTTCATTCGTGTTTGAGGGAAGCCTCTGATCTTTTGAATGATCGAATCTGCTGGAACAGCAATGTTAAGGATGGCAAAACGATCAATTCTGTCACCATTAAAACCGAATATGATGACATAGAGGAATTGATGCAAGGATTAGATATTATGGATAGTTTCGAAAATGAATTGGAAACATTTACCTCAAAACTAATGGATTATATAATCAAGCCCATCATTTATGATCATTGTTCGGTGTATGTTGTCAAAGAGAAAGTGTTTACTGTCGAGATATTAGAGAAGAAAAAAATGCCATGTTATAAGGGTGTACTCTACAATTTAAAATTGCTCTTTGTGTTCCTCCATCACCATTTGAATCTGATAGTCGCGGATAACAAAACATTTCTGAAAAGATTGCAACTATGTCTATTAGAACAATTGTCACATTGTTTGATAACAGATTGCATCTCCCATACTATTCCAACTTCAAATGCGGATATGAAAAATTTTGAGCCTGTAGTCGAAACGATTAACGAATTCCAAAACTATTTAGTTGAAATCGGTATTACATTTACTTTTTAAAGCTGAAAAATGTTTATAGTACAAGTGTTGAATGATATGAAATTTCAGGATTCCTCTCCGAAGATCAACTCTTCTTATCAGAATATACAAATAATATTGACAAACTCTTTATTAATAGGATATGTCAAGATTTACTAGCCAAAGCTAAAAATATAATGAAAAAAGATCTGCACGATTCTATTCGATATGAATCGCAGGTATTTATGTAATTATTATTATTAAAATAACAGAATTATACGTGTCGGTAATTATAATTTCTATGGATTTTTATATTCGTTCTATTTTGCTGCAGGAACCACCTAAACTTATAAATAAAGCACTTGAAAATGATTGTGAACTATCTATCGAAAAGAAGTTAAGCGATATGTCGTTTTACTTACCAAAATGTCAAATAAGGTACATGATTCGATTAACATAATTGTTAATATATAAAATATAAATATCAAATATAATACATTTTAGCAAAAATGCACAAGAAACGCTAGAACTAGCGAGAACAATATTGGACGAGGCTTGTGATAGTTCGGATGCTTGCGCCGTTAGATTATTTTATACGTGCAGAAATGTATTCGAAATGTATGCCGGTTTAGTGCCCGAGCATCATAAAAAGTTCTTGGAAACAATACCGCAACAAGTCGGTAAGAATGATACGTATAATAAGAGGAACAGATACTAATATGAATAAAATGAATATTACACTGCTATTATCATAACTATGTTTAGCACTATTTCACAACAATTGTATGTATCTTGCTCATCATTTGCTTACATTGGCGCATGAATACAGAGACAAACTTCCGAAAATTATACAAAAATTGAACTTAACATTTGCGGATCAAGTCATAATACTTAGAGATGTTGGGTCACAATACTTCCTAGATCACATGAGATATCAAACAAACATAATTTTCGACATCATCAAGGATTCAGGTTTATAATTTATCTATCAGCTACGAAGAAAATTAAAACAAGTTTAGCAAACATATTTTGTTTGTAATTAGGTTTCTCAGGATTAAGTCAAGCCCAGCTACATCCTAGTACCGAACGTGCACTAAGACAATGTATTAGACAATTGGAATTATTAAAGACTGTTTGGCTGGATGTTTTGCCTATGAATATCTACTGTAAAGCTGTTGGTTAGCCTATTTCTTAGATCTTCTTTTATTTGTTATATTTTAACATTTATTCTCAATGTGTTAACATTTTAGGATGTATAACAAATTCTATGATCAAAGATTTAGTGACAAAAGTCATATCTACTGAAGATATTCCAGTTGATGTAGCAACAGAATTGGTAACTTTATTCAATATGGTGGTAAAACGAATGCCGCCTATATTTCCTGTAAGTATATAATACGAAAGACAATATAAAGAGGAAAAAAGCAAATATATACGAGAAATTTAATAACAACAACAATTAATAAATTTTTATTAATTTAATGTTGTACATTTTGATATCACAATGTGATAAAGAGTTGTTTGAGACAATGGTGTTCCAACTGGTTCCTGTAAAAGTTAAACCACAAAAAACATTATTCCGTTTAATGAAGTACTTATTAAGTGGCATTTTAATATTACAGGATCAACAAATTCAACACCATGTTCGTAAATGGGGGAAATTTTTGGAATTGATCAAGTTACTTGGTGCATCACTGAAAGAAATTGAAATTAGATGGGGAAATGGAAAAGGGCCATTAGCACAGGAATTTACTGCTTCACAAGTTAAACAAATGATCCGAGCATTATTCCAAAACACAGATAGAAGATCTAATCTTTTAGCTTCTATAAGATAAAAATGTAATATATATATAAAAATTCTAAATATATATAAAAAATAACAAATAATTAAATTTATGTTATATATAACATGTGTATATTCCAAGTTAGAATTGAATGTAATCAAAGATAATATCTAAAGAAAAAATAATCATATAATTATATTTTATATACATTTGTAAAAATTTATGTATTAAAAATAAAAAATTTACTACTACAATCTTGATTGTCGATATACATATACAGAATATGGAATTTTAAATATTTAAAAATCAAAATGTTTTAATTAATTTGATATTGCAAATTGAATATTAATTGCTTAAAAAATTGATATCGATAAAATAAAATTAGTAGTTAAAATTAAAACAAATTAAATTTAAAACACGAGTTAGCAAAACAATATCAATCATATATTTTAAAGTAATTTCATTAAAAAAAATTTTTTAATTTAAGAAATACTTAATATCAAAAATAGGGCATGTGTTCTGTCAAAAAATCTATCTTGCAATTTGTTTCTCATAAAAAGTGATAATAATTTTTAATTTTCAATTAAGTGACCGTCTAATTATATTGATATTTATTATGATAAATTTCTTTTTTATAGAGATACTTACGTGCTATAAACACTTTCAACTTATAGTAAACTTGCATTCGTCTAACGGCTTGTATTAGAATTAAATTAATTCTAATGATTAAGTTCGAAATTCCCTTTTTCGTCAGGCATCCAATTAAAGTATTAAAAAACACGAAGAACAAACGCAATATTATTTAAAAGAATAACATATCTAATATCAAAATTATTCTGTAGACCGTTATCGTAGGAAACCTCGATGCAGATTAAGTAAACAGCTGCATTTGATAAAAACAATTCGTTTACGAAGTAACGGAGAAAAAAAACGTCAGACATTACGTGAACAGTCATTGTAAACTGTGAAAAAATAATCAGTCAAGTAGGCAGGCAGGCAGACAGACAGGCAGAGGGTGGCGGTCAGTAGTGAGCGCAAATCATTTAATATCTCAATTTCCAATTTCATATCTTTTACAGTGGAGATAATATACATCATTACCACTATTTTTATCACTTTCTTATTAACGAGCATCTAAAAATGACAAAGTAGATGCTCGATTATCCCTTTCCAAATGCAGCACTGTTTCCGCACGTATATCATAAAAAAAAAAAAAGAAAACGAAGTGTGGAAGATATATCATGTAGATGCGATCGCTTTGGTATCGCAAGATTTTGATCTTGTGTGGTTTGTGCGTCGAAATTCTCATAAGGCTTAACTGCCTTCCCTTTCTTCGCTTGTACAATAAATTATTAATTGTTATATGCGAGCAGCAGTTTGCATTTGGCTAGTGTTGCGCGCGATTTACTGTCTCCTTTCCGATTCCATATAAAATCGTTACTATTCATAGAACGTTAAGCGAACACACGTTTCTATCTAAATACGTGAGAATGATATTCACAAGATTATGGACCGTCGTACCGCAGTACGAAACTTATAGAAAAGCTGAAAATAGTAGAAGCTAAGCCAAATAAATCCGTGAAAATACTACTATTATTTTAACAGTCGTGAGATTATATATATGCAAATGAGTCTTGAAATCCGTATAATCGTAAACCAAGGACCATAAAAATCCTACGCATCTAAAACGTGTGTAAAGGAAGAGGAGATCTAAAACAACCCACGATAAGGTTTCGATTGAAAATAAAATGATTCTGTGTAAATAGCGTTATAGTCTCTATTGATTACAGCCCTATATTAATTACTTCCTCAAATATTAATCATTTGAAGAAATTACGCGGTTCGTGTTTTATCGCGTCTTTTGCTTTGCGCGAAAATGTTTTCGAGGGAACTATCGAGTCTGTTAATCATAAAAAATGTTCCCCGGCAGCGACCACGGGTTGCTATGGAAGTGGTACAATGCACGGAAAACATTGCACAGCGCAAACTGCAATGGTAGTTCTTGTATATATACAGGTCGCTGTGTAGATTGGACAGAAATGAAGTCGTCGAGGCGGGTGGCTGATCGGCCCGCAGTTCAGATTGGCAAGACGCAGCGTAGTTCTTTTATGTGCATTCACGTAGATGACGATGACTGTGAACATGGAAGTGCAAAACAGGTTGTCACATTACTTCGCCCCCTTTGGACTCCCATTGACTGAGAGCCGACAGCTTGATATTTTTGTACATGCAATTAAATGAATTTGTCATATTTAACGATAGCACAGGTTCTCTCATGCACATAAAAATCTTTTTATGTAATTTGTAGAATTCTTCTGTATAATTTAAATAAGCATAAAGTAATATTATATTCGCGTAAAATGTGGAATTGTATACCACATTGTTGTTTAGAAATTAGCCAGTTCAGGTTTTTTTTTTACCTTGAGCTAGACAATTCTTTCACAATCATATTCTTACCCATTGTTCAGTACCCATTGTTTTTGACGCGACCAGATTATTTGACCAGAAATTTTTTGTTCATCATGTAATTGCTAATATTCTTAGAACCTCTTTGTGCGTAGTTAAGAAATTTCGTCTTTTCCAAAAATCTTTTTTTTCCAAAAATGATACGTATTTTCAAATATAAAACTCAAATATTTGTTTACGTTGCATTTATCCATGAGTGAATACGAAGATAGTAGAATCATATATGTTGTGAGATGTCTTTTACGATTCTACTGTCGAAATGTCTATAATTTCTTTCTAGAGCGTATGTTTTCCTAGATTCCTAAGTTGCACAAATTGTACAAGCGATAAGACTTGCTAAACGTGATACGAGTTCAAAATGAATCTAAATGGGTATCGTCAATACCTGCCACGGCCGGCGGGAGAGCGGCTTCGATACCTCGCTGTGCTTGTATCCTTCCCGGTGTAGTAGTCGGCGCCAGTGTCTCCACTACTACCACCGTAGACGTCCTGTGTATATCCATCTCGCGTAACATACCCGCTGCTGCGATTGAACATATAGTCTTCTCCATAACGACCTCTGCCCCTACTTCCGCCACCCCTGCCTGTATAATAGCTGCCTCCATAATCTGCGTAAGTACTGCCTCTGTAACCCGCTGTAGTGCCGCCCCGAGAGCCAAAGTCCCTACCGCCAACCCCGCGATTTCCTCTGAAACCACCCGCACCACCACCCCTACCGCCCCCGCGACCTCTACCCCGAGAAATCTCCACTCTCAATTTTGCACCCATAATCTCCATGCCATTCATATTGCAGCATGCTAATTCAGCTTCGTTCATATTGAAGAACTCGATGAAGGCAAAGCCAGGTGGATTAAACGCCACCCACACCTTGTTCAGTTTGCCATACTTCTCAAATTCCATTTGCAAGTCTTCCTTTTTGATGCTCTCGTTCAACCCACCCACGTAAACACGGGTATACCCTTCGGGCGTCATCTTGTACCTAAAAAAACAATATGATAATTAGTCACATGATAAAAATGTTTTCCAAATAAAGCAAGACAGTTTTTACAGTTTCTAAAATTAACGTAATTAACTTGAGTTGATTTAAGAGATGATTTAGGGAACTAAATCACCTCTTAAATTAACTCATATTAATTCCGTGATTTTTATAATGCATATCAAAATTAATCCCACAGCGTTAGTCACACGATAGTCGATATGAAATGATACATAGAAAAAAACCTTTGTTTTTCTATCGAATAAAGTAACAAGTTGAGCGCGAATAAGCGGAACCGGATAAGAACAATCAGGAATGCATAATTGCGTTTACAATGTGCGCCACAGGAAGGTCATTCTTTGTCTCCACAACAAGGAAGATATCTCGTGTAATTTCCTACCTATTCGTAAAAAGAGGGTAAAAGGATTTCAAGTTTTATCTCTAGGTAATTCATGAACGCGCGCGCGCAGAGTAGAGAAGAAGAGGAGTTACGGTCTTAGCGGCAGTGCGTGACAAATCATACGTAGTTACAATTCACAACACGTAGCCATGACGGTATTTTCATTCTTGGCGCTGAAACGCGCGGCATAAGGTATAAGGACGCGGGGCATCGCGAGCCGCCAGACGAGTTTGGATCATTCCTCGTAGACGGAGGTATTCCTCTTCTCCCGGAAAATAGCACGAATATCCGGGTACCGCGCGCGAAAACATCATCGAGATAGGACGAACAGCGGCGACTTAGGTTTACGCGCCAACGAGTTCGAAAGGGTCGTCCCCTCGCCGCGGGGTATTGTTACTCACTCGTTGCCGCTCCTTCTTGTCTCGGGATTCCTCTCTCGTTGCGACGATCGTTGCGTATCCGCAAGAGGAAGAGACGGGCAAAGGAAGGAGACGTGCGCCTCTCGGACGAAGAAGAACGTGCACGCCGTACGTCGTGCGTCGTGCGGCCGCGCAATCGATAGAAGCACAGGCCCACCGGGGTTCACAGCGCACAGAGAATCATGTCGGTCGCACTCGCGGCCTCCAACCCAGACGCCGCTACTTGTCGCCACGGTTCTAGATGAGGATCGGAGAGTGGAAACCGGCGCGTGTGGAAACTGCCAGTTTCCTTCGAGGCTCGCGTTCAAGGCTGTATGTTCCGATGTATTCTGTCTCTGGACTGAAAATCTATAGTTCATGTCACGTATACTATAGATTTTCAGCGCAGGGTAATCGAAACACGATCCGAATCTCGTGGTTAAATGCATCGGACCAATCACGAGTTTCATTTCAGACTAACTAACTGCTCCCGTACGTCATAACTATAAAAAAAAAAGTATGAACTGGTCTTTTTATTTCTTAATTAGGTTTGTTTGTGGCTTGTCTTTGTGCTTGAGTTTTTCATGCGAAACTATATTGCAAGAAATTTGGAAAACTTCAAAAAACTTAATAAAATTAAGATTTCTTTATTAAAATGGATATATGTTTTGTGCTAATTAATTGCTGTTGAAAAAATTAAGTTTGTTAAAAAATAAAAAAATTTGTTAAGGTTTTGATTAAAAAGAGAAAATATAATAAATTTAGTACGAAAAAGAAATCTAGCATTTAGGATCGATTTCATCAACGTTATTTTGAATTTTAAGTAGCATTTAATATATAATATGTGTCATGTATATTATGTATTAAGTCTCGTTTAAAGCCCAAATAATATTGGTGCAACCGGGCCTTAGAGGCTTAGCAAATATTATTTGAGAAGTCCTAAATTAGAAATTCTAGAAAAAGAAATAACAAGTTTTGTGCCAATTAAATTATCGAAAAAATTCAAGTTCAGATTTAAACAAAATGTTTGAGAAATCTTAAACATGAAGAGTAATTTTGTGTTGAATAATTAATATTGAAAGTACTTAGATGATCTAATTTGAATCTTAAAATAGGAAAAATGTCTAAAAATTTTTTAAAGATTTTGTTTTTCTCATATATCAAATAGCTGAATGTTATGATGATGTCAATTAATTATACAAAATATCTTTTGATAGGTGTCATATCTTATGGAATGTGTAATCAACCAGAATGTAATAGATTTCTAAACCTGAGACGTTTTCTTTTATATAATTTTAAAGTAGTCGAAAACACTGAATAACAATAATCAAATGCCTTGATACTTGAGTAACAATCGAATTTGAGAGAGAATGTCGGCACACGTCATGTGCTTAACTTCTTCGGGAGGAATCCCTCTATTCACACGTCAGAAGGGAGACAGTGATATGGTAGGTATAATGATCTAGATATTTCCAAATATATTTTTATATTTACAATGAAATTACAATAAATATATTTTAAAAATATTTTATTGTAATTTCATTGTAATTTTGTATAAAAACCAGATCTTAAAATTATTTTTGCAGATGACATTCTCAAAAATTGCATCGCTTAATGGAGTTCATATGTTCTTGAAATCTCAGGACATTACTCTTCTGAGCACAGATTTGCCAGATGTGACAGTAGCATGGAAGGAATTTGAACAATGTATCATATTAATAGCAATCGCAAGTGGAGTAACAAAATATGTACTGGACAAGTTTCTGGATACCACTTTTGGTGCAATGGTTCTCTTCACTGGCATTGACGAGATAAAAATACTAAGAATATAGAAAGACTCAAGAAGGATATACGTTTTTGCAATCCTATTATTGATAGATTAATGGATTGCTTGGATATAGGAGATAAAATTTCCACGAAAACTGATATGATTAACATGACAGAATGCATCATATCATCAGAGAGTCATTTGCTTCAGGTATTGAAATGTTCTTGCATTGATGTATAATTGATGTGAAATTACACATGACTATTCAGGAAATATGCATTCAAGACTTGTTTGGAAGGGTTTATGGAATGTCTGGATTCAATGTACGGATGTATTCTGGTGCACGGTTGCGTGGCAGCTGCTACAGAAGGCTGGTGGTCACTGGATCCTGTAGAGAGGAAATTATTAACAATAGCGATTGCTTCTGAAAG